AAATTACCTAATTGCGCCTGTTTGAATAATAACCCTTTATGCAATACGTAAAACTGCAGATCTGCTTGTTCAGTATCCAGTGTGCCGTAAAGGGGAAGAAACTGTGTTGAGAAAGTGAAAGCGTCCTGGTGACTGGGCGCCTGAGCTGTGACGCTCATTCTTACGAATCGGTCAGTGATATTTCGCCTTGTTTTATCAGCGTGTGAACCAGATAACCTGGAGAAGGGGATTGTCCTTCACATTTTTATTAGGAAGATTAGAGTAGACTTTCATCCTAGTAGAAAAACGAAAGTCATGCAATTTTATATTCAGCCTAAGACTGATAAGAGGGTGTCTTTGCTTAGACTTTTATTGTTTCTCTGCAAAATAATATTTAAATAAATAAAAAAATAAATCTTATAGGCAATGATAGGTGATCATGGCTTGCTGTTTGCAACCTACTTGTATTAGCAGCTAAAATCCCAATAGTCATTATTACCATTTATATTTTTCAATATCAAATATCAAAGATTAAACATTTCAAATTGCAGCATCGGTCGTGAGCTGTGTTTGTTTTCACTTGCTCCGTGTTATGGCCGGTGTTTGTAGGCTGCTGTTTTACCAGGAGCCCTTTTATTTTATTATATAACTTATTCCTACTTGAGCCGATGTTCTTCCTTTTTGTACGCCAGTGATTGTTTCCCACGATTTAGGATCTAATTAAATCTGAAATATGTTTGATTCTACCTAAATGCTGCGGTAAAAGCCGCAGGTAGAAAACGAAATATGTTGCTCTACCATAAATGCGGCGTTACAGGTCTGCTCCATCAGAACACCAGGAGACATCCGAGTTTGCTTCATAGAAGAGCAGCTAATACCTTTTGAAAATGATGATGAGCAGGATTCTCTTTGCTTGCCTGTTTCTCAGTCTGGTCACTGCAGGCTCCTCGCTGAGCTGCAAATGGATGGATCAAAAATTCAGACAACACAACGAAGAGACTCTGAATCTACTTGATACCATGGTGAGTGCGCTCTTTTTAAGAAAACTGTAACAACATTTAGTGGTTTGAACTCGATGTTTGATTATTTTAACACACAAGCTGTGTGTTTCTGGTTGTTGTACAGGTTTATAACTCCACCAACACCACTGAAGATGCTGAAGTGGAGGTCACTGTGGCTTTCCCTAATCATCTGTACCGCCAAGCGTCCAAAGCATCAGTAAGTTAATCATAGTATCAGTAATCTACAATGTTATGTAAATATTATATTGGTAATTTATGTGAGCCAAACAATATATTTCTGGCTACTGAATGTCTCTCTAATAGAGGAGGGAATTATGGTAATCTGTTCTTCTTCCAGGCTGAGGATAAACTGGCTTTCACTGTTCAGATTCTGGAGGAGGTGGCTGCCCTGTTTGAGGAGGATCACAGCTCTGCATCATGGGAGGACAGCACAGTGAGGAACTTTCTCAATATTGTCAACAAACAGGCTGAAGAGCTTCACTCCTGTGTAAGTTCACTTTCAGTTAGGTTTTTATTACATTCGAATATGATACTTTACATGACATGACATATTCTTAATTGTCGTTTTGCTTGTAATTAAATTAGATTGGGAGCCACAGTCACAAGAAGAAGAACTCACAGCTGTATTTCAGGACAGAAATGTATTTCAAAAGGCTTTCAGATGATGTCCTAAAGAAGAAGGTAGGTCTTTATTATTTTTTAAAAACCAATTATTTAATTAAACATGTCTGGCATATTTTACTAATGATAACATTGTTGTGTCTGTAGGGTCACAGTGCTGAAGCCTGGGAGGTGATCAGGAAGGAAACCGTAGCCCATCTCATGAGAGCAGAACAGCTGACTTCATCTCTGCATACTGCCAACTAAAATCTGTCTGTTACATGAAAATGTATTCATTTATCTGCTTGCCTGTTACTTTTTGTATTTATTTATTTATCTATCTATTGACTTCTATTTATCGGTTGACTGCATCAGTATTTTCAGTGCTTACAAACTAAATCTAATATTTTCTATAACTTTTTTTGTCTTGACGTAATAAAAAGAACACTTATTGCAAATGGATATTGTCAATCTTTTGATTCATAGAAAACAAAATAAGAAACAGGAAAAATAAGATATTTAAACTTGTTTGTAATTAATACAAATAAGCGGTTTGGTCAGTTCAGTAAGGTTCAGTAAACAGGAGCATGAAAGTCTTACCTTTAGTCTGGAGCAGTTTATTTGTAGCTGTAACTGCTTTACACTGGTTTAAGTCTTCTCTAACTGACTGATGTGTTTCTATTAACACTGATGGTCATTTTGCGTTGTTAGCCCCTCACACCTGTAGTGTTCAGATTTGCCTCTTGGTTATATTTTAATGAATTTTATGATGGTGATTACTAGATAATGAAATGACTTGTCTGTCATTTCTTTACAAAGTTAATCTCATGTTAAATCTCAGGTCTCTCTGTCTCTCTACACTTTGCCATTTTAAATCAAAGTTTATTGATTAGTCCTTCTCTCCTGCCAGAGGTGTCACAGACCTTGCTTCAATGCCTCCCTTATGTAATAGGCTCATCCTTGTACAACATTCATCAATCCATCATGGAGCCTATCTCAGCTCTCATAAGGCAAAAGGAGGGACGTACTCTGAACAGGTCGCATACAGCCATTAACACAATGACACTCACAATACGACCAACTTTGAATCGCCTGTTGACCCATACTTGTCTGTTCTGTGGGAAGATGCCACAAGAACAGAAAGAGCATCCAAACCCCACAACAATAAAGGACCCCTGTGACTGTGGATTAAAACCTGTGACCGTGTCACTGCAGTCAACAAAACTAAACACATCACAGCACTGTTCTGTTTTATTTGAGTCTTCTGTTTAATTAGACATTTCAAATTTGTTCTTAAAGTTCTATCCTTCCCATTATGCCCTTGTTTAAATTTAACTATCGTGCTTTTCTTAGTTCTGCATTTATATATAAATTTACTATTGCAATGGTCGATGGCTTATTAAATATGTCCAAAGTTTCAGGTATTGTCAGAGTATTTACTTTGAAACAAACATGCATCTTAGGTTTTTCACCTGTCTTGGCTATATATGATGTCAGTGAGGTGGGATATATTTAATATGGTCATTTCAGCAAGACAGATAGGTGATTTATGTAGAAGGCTGAGTATCCAATCAGAGGAAAGCTGGCTTCAAAAAGTGGAAGGGGCAAAAATGATTTGGTGCAAATAACATTTTCTTTTCTTCTTAAGAATCAAGAAATGTAAACAAGCATAGTTTACTATACTCCAGGTCTACTGAGAACATAAACTCTGGTTCTTTAGAAAGACTCCAACAGCTGATATTTATAAAATGAAACAAAACATTATAACTAGTAGTAGTTATAACGACTTCTCCAAAAGAATCTTGGATTATACGTGCTGTGCTTTGAAACTTGCTTATCTTGTTTAATGATTTTTATTAAGGTTTTCATTTGTATTTTTCAGTAATCCGTCACAGTCCAACTGCACAATGTCATCAGCATAGTGTATGAAGAAATTTGAATCAGGTTTTTTTTGTGTCCCCTTTAGCTAAATGTTGTGATATCGTATGATATCAATGTTATAATAAAGTGAGAGGAAAAAATAGACTAATCTGTTTTTGTAGTTTCTATGTTATACGTGCAGATCTGTCTTTGTGAACGATCAAAGAGATTTTTCTTTGGCTCGGCAGGTTTCTGATATTTGATTCTACCTGTTAAAAAGGAATGCAACATCTGTTTACTTCACTTTGCAGGAAAAAAAACATGTCCACTTTCGTTTTTAAATGGGAAATATTTATTGATTTCAACATATAAAATGATACAGAAAATGTTCTGTTTAATTTAAAGTAAATTTATGAATAAATAAAGACATGCTGTTTAACACTTAGAAATATTCACTTATACAAGCAACGTAAAAATCAGTAAATAAATTAGTAGATAAATAAGTTAAAAAATTACTAAATTAATACATCCTTCCTGTAACAGACAGATTTTAGTTGGCTGTGTGCAGAGATGAAGCCAGCTGTTCTGCTCTCATTAGATGGGCTTTGGCTTCTTTCCTGATCACCTCCCAGGCTTCAGCACTGTGACCCTACAGAAATAACAATATTATTATTATTATTGTTATTGAAACAAGTTATTATATCTATTTATCTTAAGGATGATCTAAACCCCAAATTAATGAGAATGATGTGATCTTACCATTTCCTTTAGGATATGATGTGAGAGTCTCTTAAAGTACATGTGCAGCTTTGTGGTTTTCTTCTTGTGACTGTGGCTCCCAA